CACCGCGTTGCTTCCGTCTGTCGAAACCCATGGTGGACGTCATCGAGCGCGACGGTCCAGCTATATTTATGTGCAGGGGCGTTGTTTTAGTGAGGCAGCTAGACCCCCGATCGTCAAAATTCAGGGCGTTTATTTTCTCACTGACTCACAAATTCGCTTAGGCCCTTGCAATTAGTAATATTTTATTACTGATAAAAGACAATAACTTGGTATCTGGTTGAATGTCTCCGATCTTAGAGTATAAAAAATCTACATAGCTTGCAAAATTGTTTGAGACCATATAAATAAATGAAAACTCGAAGCCCCTGGCCGCTACTGCTCGTCTTCCACCCTGCTTGACCTGATCTCTTTTTGCATAGTTATAATGCAGCACGCTTATCCTTGCTCAGTGTTGACCCCTATCCATTGTTTAGTTTTTTTATTTTTGTTAATATTTTACGTAGAAATATCCACATAACATTCTTCTGGGGTGGAGAAGAATAAGAAGAGTAAATTTTTAAATTGGTAAATTTGCTTCTTAGATGTTACTCACTTAACCTCTTCATCGATATCAACTAGCAAATTAAACTCTCTTGAGTCTCCGCATTCTCAGCTCGTCTTCTAAGAGAGCAAGCCTAAGCTAACGTACATTCTTCGAAGCATGCAGGTACTCACTTTCACGGTTACTCTCGTTCTCAGGTGAAATTACTCTTCAGGTGGACTACAAAGGCGCTCCAGCGGATTTAGCGTCCAACGTGAGAGTTACTGTTGACTGGGGCGATGGCGGTTCGTTGGAGGTTGTTCCGTCAGCGAACTTCACCTCGCCTTTGGTGCTACGTCATCGTATGCTGAGATACAATAGGTGCCTCTGCCAGGTGTTACTTGACAATCAGGTCTCCACAGTAAACAAAACGGTTGAGGTCAGTCTTGACAATTTTACTTGGTTTCCGGCTATCAGTCCTATTGCTGTGGAAAAAATGTGCAAAATGCATCTACATAAAGATATTTGCTGGGTAAAATTATCAAAACAATTCGACATACAGTCAGGTAATTAACTTATATTGGCCTTGGTTTTAACCTCCAGAAGAGGGAGACGGCATCTGAACACTTTTTTCGTTTTTCTATTCCGGGTTTAAGTGTGGTTTTGAAAGCTTTTAGTAGACTTTCACGTATGTGAGAAGAAGATTCGATTGCTGTATTGGCTATTTCGCATGTTCATTTGCATGGTTTCGGAAAAGCCCCCTGATGTGTAATATATGAGTATTTATACAAAGTTTTCTCTTTAAGTATTTAAGAGGTAGCACTGTTTTTGTACCCCGTTCATAGTATAGAAGCACTTGATTAAGGAAATCAGACTTATAATATTAACAGCAAAATCTCTAGCAAATCTAACAAATAATTCAGATTATAGTGCAGAAGAACAATCTACCTGAGCTATTATTTAGCTTCATTTATAAAAGAAACTATCTTTTCTTCAGACTTTAAAGCTTGGAAACCCATTTTTCAATGCGGGAGGCCTCCCTCTCATTTCGTGTGCTGAAATTATAAATCACGTTACCCGTTACTTATACTCGTGTGGTGTATTTTGTGGAGTGTCAAATATTGTTCTTTGGTTTGAGGCTTCATCACGCAAGTAATAGGATTTATTTTGGCGAAAAGAACTCCTTGCTCATTTTGCAGCAGTGTAAACTTTTACATCAGTTCATGAAAATTTCGTTTTTACAGAGGACTCCACGCGGAAATGGCAGTCATAATCTGAGAAGATAATGCGTAAATCCGAACTGTTTGACGGTCTGCATTAAATGCTCGAAGGCAGTCTCTATAACGCGCACCTAAAGCTGCGAAACGCTTTGATGAAAATGAGCCCTGGCAGCAAATATAGATTAGAGAAGCCGTTGCATTCGTTTATGGACTGGGGAACCCGTAAACCATGACTCAAGTAACTCACACTAGTTTCATCTCTTGCGAGAATTTTGGTCTCATAAAATGTGAATATGTCGCCGGGTCTCGCGGAGTGAGCCGTGACATGGGAATTGGCACCATTTCGCTGCACTGGTGTCGCGTGTTCGGCTGTTTGCCTCTCGAGACGTCTTTAAGTTTCTTCTACGTAGTTGCTTTGTCCGCAACTGCACCAGATCGTATAGGTGACTCCTGATCTTTCTTGTCCTGGCATTAGGTCTTTTGGTTTCATTAGTATGTAAGGTGTCAGCATGCAGCATGCTCTTGAAATCGATAAATAAAAGTAATCTTGTTTTACATTTAATCTATTCAGATCGGATACTTTAAACCGATATTTGCGGCATCTTTGGACGTCTTCATCGGCGACACGGATGTGCAGGGTTATGGCAAAGAAAGGAACAAATTTACCCTCAACGATCATCTCCGTTTTGTTCCAGCGGCACTGGATGGCACAATCGAGAAGACTCACATCATCCTCAGACACATTGAAACAGACACTGCTGTCCTCAACGTCACCTTTCGCGAACCATTTTATCTCTTTGAAGTGACCGCGGTATATGCGTTGTTCTGCGTGCCGTATTTTAATGATTGCCACCCATTAGCAAAAATGTATGTCTGCAAGCAACGTCCACAGCCGTAAGATCGACTTAGTCGAAAATATTTGAATACGAAGTCGGCCTTCGAGAAGCTGTCGGGGGGTAGGGCGCAGGTACTGCATCCTCAACCAAACCGTGATACTTGGTCTGTTTAAGGGACTTTATATGTAAACATAAAAAGAAACCTGAATGTAAATAGAAACGTTGGAGGTCATTTGACTTGTATGTAGTTAGCCATACCAGTGTGTTTTTTTCTAAATGAAATGTCACGGCGACTGGTGGTACGGCTGCGTTTGGTGGCTGGGCGTCCATCACTTGTATGTCTGCCCCATCCTCCGCATCTGAAAACTGATCAGCTTGGACGGTGACTGGGCCTAGGAATGAGAGTAGAGAGTGAGGTCGATGGCTGGGCGCATTTTGCTCACTGTAAACAATCTGACGCGCTTGTGTTAGAATCCGTGGCTTGAAATGTAGCCAACTTACGAGATAACTCGATCCATGGGTTCAGCCCAATTACATGACAGCCATCCTCAAGCAAACGGCCAATCCGAAAATTTTGTTGGCACATTTATCAGAGCAATAAGAACGATGTGGAACTCGGACGCTTCTGTTAGCCCACCGAACGACACCGAGGTTGGAGGTAGACGGATCGACTCTAGGCAGACGACCCGGTGGGCGTCTCCGGTACTTGAGGTCAGCGTCCCCAAGACTCCAGTCAAGAAAACCCTATTTTCTGGAGGGTAAAGACGTACACAGTAGTCGCCGAAGATCACGCAACATGCCGACATATGCGAAAGAAAGATACTATTTCGCTAATCAGCATTGATTCAAGTTGTGATACTGATTGTCGTGTAGTCTATTCTGAAGTCAGTTCAGTCATGATAAGATACAAGCTTCTTGACGAGCTTCTTTCTGACCCCTAGCAAAACGTATGTATTGTAAAAACTGGCTATTTAAGTAATACGCTTTTTATAATTTATTTTGAGTGCCCTTATAAATTTAAACATATTTTATGAAAAATATGCACGAAAAAAATTATTTCTTATACTTGTTTGATAGAAAAATACGCCTTCTTTAAATTTTATACTCAAAGAAAGGGTAGTTTTGGTTTGAAAAACGTTGCTCAATTGCCTAACCCAGTGATTGCTACACTCGAATTCAAGGTTTAAAAACTGGGCACTATGTACATCCTGTTTAAGGAAAAGTACGTTTTCGCCTGTAGTTTGAAGAAGACTTCACACAGTTGTCAGAAAATATTGAAATAGATGTGGAAAATATTTTACGCAGTATAGGCAGCACTAATAAATTGACGGATACGATGTATTAGGAATAAAAACCTCTAAATTGTAAAAAAAGCTCATAGTTAGCATCTTTGATAACCGAAAGTTACCCTTTCTTTGAGTATAAAATTTAAAGAAGGTGTAATTTGCTATCAAACATGCACACGAAATAATTTGTTTGTCGATGTTTTCCATAAAATATATTTGAACTTATAAAGAGTACAAGAAATAATTTTTTCGTGCGTTTTCCATAAAATATATTTGAATTTTTAAAGACAGTCAAAATAAATGATAAATAAGCAATAATTTTTTCGTGCGTGTTTTCCATTAAATATGTTTGAATTTATAAAAGCAGTCAAAATAGAAGATAAAAAGGCATATTACTTAAGCAGCCAGTTGTTACAATAGACACGTTTTGCTAGTGGTTAGAACAAAGTTCGTTAAAAAGCCTGCATCCTATCATGACTGAAATGACTTCAAAGGTATTTACCTATATTTCCCTTAATAAAAACCTGACCTGACTTCAGAATACACTATACGATAATCAGTATCATAACTTGAGTCAATGCCAATTAGCGAAAGAGTACCAATCTTTCGCATATGTCGGCATGTTGCGTGATCTTCGGCGACTACTGTACCTATGAAAATGCACTTCCGGAGAACCCTGGACAGAGGGTAGAATCAAAAAGGTGCACGAAGTAGTTTTTGAGATTGAGACAAATAGAGGACACGTAAGAAGGCGCACAAACCAGTTAAGGCACCGAACGAGTGCAGACAACCAGTTGGCCCTAGACCTACTTT